AACACAGCTGGTGCTACATTAATGCTTATTCTCTTCCCTCCCCATACGCACAGCATATTCCCTTCTCATGCCTGTTTCTTTCCTTCTCTCCTTCACACTTGACTCAAATGCCATTGCAGCAAACCACACTGCTTAGATGTGCATGTTGTGTGCCTCCCACATGGCGGGCAGCAGGGGCGCCACAGCGCCTAGAGCTGGGGAGTCAGAAAAACCTGAGTCTGATCCCTTTCTCAGCCCCAGCTTCCTCATCTGTAAAATGGGGATATGACAACAGCACCTCCCTCCCAGGTGGCTGCAAAAGTCCCGTAAGATACCAGATGCAAAGGGCTTTGCAGACTAAAGCCCTGTATAAATGCGTGCTGTTATCATTATGAATTATTATTATTGGGTGCTTATTACGTGCTCACTGGATGCTGATGCATTGTACCTCCATTCAAAAAATGGGTACTAAATGCCCACCACGCTCCTCTGGGGGAGTACGTGGAGTCTGAGCAGGGGGGCCCCTGCCAGCAATCAGCCAGTCAACAAGAACGTACCGATGGTCAGTCACCCTGCACTCTGAGAGAAAGAACACATCCACGTCCAAGCAGATGCAGACTATGTCTAAAGGAAAGGCCTATTTTTGGCCCTACCATAGGTCTCCAGCCCTTGGCACCTGGTAGGTGCTTAATAACTGCTCGTGCAAACAAACACTAGTGACCCAAAGGTCAGCAAAGGCCCCCTGTGGGAAGGGAGCTGAGCCAAGCTGGGAGTCTGAGCTGAGGAACAGCGAGGGGAGAGCTCAGGCTATGAAGGGCCTTAACTGGCGAGTGGAAAAGCTTCCTACAAGATGAAGGACTAGCCAAATTCTCTAGTGCCCATTAACTCTTTTTTTTTTTTGTGGAGGCAACTGGGGTTAAGTGACTTGCCTAGGATCACACAGCTCGTGCCTGAGGTCAGATCTGAACTCAGGTTCTCCTGATTCCAGAGCCAGTGCTCTATCCACCCTACTACCTAGCTGCTCCCCATCAATTCTTTAAAATTTCCCTCGAGGAAGCACATTCCTGAGCCAGGACAATCCTGGCCAGACGCACAGGACGAGGCCCGAGAAGGCGGCCTGAGGAGTGAACCTGGAGGACAGGAGTCTCTAAGGGGTGGGCTCGTGCCTGTCTCCCAACCCATTCTACAAGGAGCAAGCGATAAGTGTGTGCAGATCTGTGAGGGGGCAGGGAGTGAGGCCCAGCACAGGAAGCACCTCCCAGCTGAGGAGAGCCAGGGATGGAGCAAGGGGAGGGGCCACACTGGGCTGGAAGGGAACCGTCCCGACTCCCTGAGGGCTGAGGCTAAGTCCAGGGAAGCACTTCTGTCCAAAGCTCCCGTGGTAAGCTCACCATCAGAGGGGCGGGCCCAGTCAGCAAGCAACAGGAAATAGAAGGAAAAGAGGCCCAAACCACGAAAGACTTCAGGATGAATCGAGAGAGAGAAGCACGAACACTACAAGACCAAAGAAATTACAAACGTCTCTAAATCAACTATTTTGACAAAAGAAATGGTACTGATGCCTGATGAACCAGGGATCCTGCGGAACCCTAAGACTGGTTCCGCGATGTTTGAAAAGAAAGATTAACACAGACAGTCCAGTGAGAAGAGAAAACATGTTGGTGCCCCCCACCCCAGCCTGCCCGGCAGCACCAATGGGCAGTTCTGCTCGGTTTCTGCTCCAGGGGACTTTTCTCAGCTCCCTTGGGGGGGGGGATGGGCCAAGATCCTCCTCTATCACCTGCCCTCACCCAGCACTCAGACCTCAGCAGGGAAGGCTCTGCTCTCCCCTGCAGCTAAGCTGGGAAATCACCCCCTCCAGGGGACTTCATACCCTCGGGTCCCTCCCCTCCTAGCTTTTCAGCTTCCTTTCAGTTATCTCCCACAATTAGAATAGAAGCTCCTTGAGGGCAGAGACCACCTCCCTTCCCCCCCATTGTAGTCCCAGCAATTAACATTGAGCCTGGCACACAGCAGGCACTGAATACATACTCAGTGAACTGAACTGAGAATAGAAAACTCGAATCTACATCTACGGTGGCAAGTGTCTTCAAAGACACAAAATAGCAAACAACGGATGTGGAATACCAGCACCTTGATGCCGAGGATAATCTAGAAGAAAAAAGCAAAAGGTACTAAAAGGAAAAGAACACTTTTTTGGGGATAGTACGCACTGATAACAGTTCAAGGCTATATGCAGGTTTCCTAGAAGAACGTGACAAATCTACATGCAAGAAATAACTTTGCCTGCCCTTATCCCCCACCTCTTCTCCCCCTGCTTCCCCAACAAGAACAAGCTGTCTGACGCTGGTAGGATGCGGCTGAACCTGCAGGTCGCTTCCAGGAAGGGGGGAGGGCGCCGGGGAACAGAAGTCTATGTTTCAGATGCCAAGACACTGACGTAGGAGTTACATTTAACAATTCCAGTGGCAAACGATGAGTTCTACAAGCAGCCAAGACCCTCAAACCACTGAAGAATGGAAATTTGAATCACACAACACCCACTAGAAACCACAGAACGGAGTGGAACGGCATGTTCTAAAAAGCAAAGGATCTCAAGATGCAACTCGAAATGACATACCCACAAAACCTTAAGTAAACTATCATTGGAAAAAAAAGCCAAACAGAAGAGGCTGTATTTTTATTCTTTGGGCAACAGGGGACAGCCGAACCTTTCTGAGCGATGGAACGACATGGCTGTACATGTGCTTCAGGAATTCCACTTGGAGATCCAATCGAGGATGAACTGAAAGGGGGAGGTGCTGGCCAGAGCAGCACAGGGCACTGGGCCCTGGACTTGGAGTCAGGATATGTATCTGCCGGACTCGATGGAGGTCACTCCTAGCTCTCCATCTCTGCTACGGGGCCTGGGGAAGGGAGGGGGAACGAAGCAGAGAGGGCAACAAAGACTCTGGGAGGCTGAGATCAGAGAGGGATCTCCTGGCATGGGGCACAGTTTAAGTAAATGCCCAGAGGCAGGAGACGGGGGATGTGGCTCAGGGGGTAGCAACAAAGTAGAGGCCAGAAAGGTGACTGTCAGGCAACAATAATTGATTAGAAAGAGGAGCAGGAGGCCTATGGTGGGCGGCTTCCCATGCCGCCATCTACTTCTCCCAGAGGTTGGCGGAGGAAGAGCCCCCCAGAGGTGGGTCAGACCTGCACCTTGGGAAGACTATTTCGGCAGCTCTGTGGAAAATGTCTCAGAGGCCAATCGAGGCAGGCCCTGAACGAGGGAAATGGGCAGCACCCTGAGTTCCTGCAAGGCTGCTCAGAGAGTGGGGGTGAGGATAATGGCCAGGTCCTGGAATCCCCAGGACACCTGGACGGAGGTGTCTGGCAGGAAGCTGACCCTGAGGGGTCCCGGAGCTCAGAAGCAAGCTGAGGGCCCGATCCATGGATGTGTGGGTCATCGGGGTCACTTGACACTTGGGGCCAAGAACAGAGCTCTGGGGATGCCGGAACCAAGGGAGGGGAAAGAGCAGCGTCCAGGGTCCACAGTGGTAAGGAATCACTCCCCAGCGCTCAGAGCCATCCACACGTGGAGGGGCCGCCTACCTGTGAAGGTGGAGAGTTCTCTCTTGCACCTGGGCTCCCCAAGCACTCAACCAGTAGAGGCCCGCTACAGGCAGGACGGTGCCAGGGACCGTGGCAGAGCTAGCGCCGCGGTGTCGGGACAGACACGGCCCAGAGAAGCTGGGCTGGACGCCATCAGAGCGAGCACAGGGAGGCCCAGAGGGGAAGGGACTCGGCTAAGGTGACGCAGGGCTACGAGCCACCGGTGGCAAAGCCAGTCTCATTCTCCCGTCTTCCCCCACGCTTGGCTTGGCGATGCAGGCAGACATCCTGGATGCGGCAGCATGGAACAGCAGGGCCCGCGACACATATCTCAAGACAGAACGAGGCCGGAGAGCTGGGGCAGCTCCGCGCATGACGCGGCGTGGGCCTGAGTCAGGCCGGTGGCGAGATAGGACCCCGGAAGGCTTGCCACAGGAGCCTCGGCATCTGCTGGCGATGGAGCTCTTCTCATCAGCGCCCCGGCTCAAAGGCTGCGATGGTGTCAGGGCTGAGCGCAGCGAAGGCACTTCCTCCACAGCTGTGTGCTAGTTTCCTGATTAATGTGACCAGACAGGAGGATGGATGGAGAACAGGGAGTAAAACCTGTCTGAGGGGCGGCCCTGGGTTACAGGGAGGGCAGACGAGGCAAGGGGCAGGGATGCCGGTCTGTGGGGAGAAGAGAAGTGATGCCCTCGGCAAGAAGTCTGGGTGACGAAGACAGCCCTCCCTTCCTCATCTGTCCCTCACTCCAGGCTAATAATGCCCATGCCCCACATCCCTCACGAACCTTTTGTGAGGCTCCAAGGACACAACAATGTGTGTAAACACACTGCCCAAAGGCAAAGTGGCTCTCTCCTCCTTCAAGTTCTGGGCCAGACCCTACTTGGGAAGCCACAGACAGGGGAAGGGACATGGGAACCACCTTCCAATGCCTCGGTTCTCCAAAGAGGACAGAAGCAAGGCCCGAACTTTGTGCTTGGGGAGGTCTTTTGTTTTTTTGCTTTTTAGGGAGGCAATTGGGTTTAAGTGACTTGCCCAAGGTCACACAGCTAGTGAGTGTAATGTGTCTGAGGCCAGATTTGAACTCAGGTCCTCCTGACTCCAAGGCTGGAGCTCTATTCACTGCACCACCTAGCTGCCCCATGGGGAGGTCTTTTGGGGACAGCTAGCTAGTGTGTGAGCAAACAGGGAAGGAGCGTTCCCTCCCACACCAGAGCCAGAGACAGGCCTGGCGCCGGCTTCCAACTGGGCCGTGCTATGTTCGTCTGGAGCTACCGCTAGACCCCCAAGCTGACTCTCAGAGAGGCAGAAAACTCATCTACTGAGATGCATGCTGAAGAAAAATAGGAAGGGGCCACATGGCACATTTAAGCAGACAACAAACCAAATTACTTTTTACAATGTAGGAACAGAAACGTAAGTCTTACTTGTGAGATCCGATCCCAGAAGGAATAGCTTTAATTTTATTATGCCGGAGATCCAGCCAAACGAGACTTGGCAGGAGCTGAAAGAAATCTTTAGGAATTATGCTGAGTTCATTTCTTTGGAGATGCAATTGCTTCCAGGAAAACAAACAACAACAACAACAACAACAAAAAACAGAATTAGATTCTATCGCACTAACTCTGCCAGCTAGCAGTGAGACGGGCACTAGGACAAGCCAGGCGTCTCTAGTATAACAAGCTCCTGCCTATTGTAGGGATGAAGGAAGCTGCTCTCCCAGCTCGGAACAGCCCCAGGCTTCCCTTGAGTACTAGGCTGAAGCGGCCCTCACTGGCCATGGGGGAGGGGGAATGGGGCAGGGGCTCCCCTCCCCCACCCAAGACAGCCACGGTGACCCAAACACAGACAGGCCAGGCTCATCCCCACTCCTCCTCCCAATGACCAAAGCGTCCCTGGCCCTGTGCCAGCACCTCCACAACTCTGATGGACACCTTTCTAAAATGTGTTACACAATTATTTGTGTTAAGTAAAAAGTAGAGGCTCATTCTTAAGGAAGCAGGCTCATCCTGATGAAGTCCATCACTGTGCACCTCCTTCTCACAGCTGTTTTTATGGTATCACATCCACTCTAACAATCTCTAGGTCTTTGCCCATCCCCTGGCTGTGTTTGTGTGGGTGTGTGTGTGTGCTCTAGTGTGCGTGCTTGCACACCATGTTCAAGTGCAGACACACACACACACACACACACACACATTAAACAGGCCACAGCGAAAGCCTAAGGCTCTCTCCTGGCCAATTAAACCCAGTTCAAAGCTTTCACTGCTTAAGGCTTTGTGCCAGACATGGTTAACCAATATTAGCTTTTCCAAGTGACCTGTGAATCTCTCCAACATTTTCCCCACAACAGATCTGAATAACAGACTGTCACGGGGCATTGGTCCCATCTCCCCATGGCCTGGAAAGCCCTGATGAGACTTTTGCGAGACAAGGATGCCGTCCGGTGAGCACCAGCACGCCCTGTATTGTGCAGTGATGCCCCGGATGACATAGCGACTCACTTTCAGATGAGGAATTTTGAAGATTTCCTCACTTAGATGTTCAAGGCCTCTTTTGCTCAAGTCCAGAGCAGGAGATGGCGAGAAGAGAGTCCCCTCAATGACATTCCGAACATCTTTCGGGAGGGGGATTGACGGGGTCCTGGTTTTCACCGAGCTGCTCTCCATGCAGCCAATCAGCCCCTTTAATTCTATGACAGAGCAGCCCCCTTCCATCTGTTAGCACAGCAAAAGACCAGTCCTCCGAGCAGGACTCATCCTCTGGTAAGCAGTGACTTGAAAACAGAAAAAAAACAAATGAAGAGATGGGGACAGCAGTCAGGTGCACATGAGGTTGGAGCATTAACTCATACATGCCCATGGGAACTGGGCACTTATTCCGAAGAGTCACAGAACCCAAGGAAGGTGCCTGGGCACAGCTGCCCCTGGGAAAGTGGCTCCTTCTACAGATGTCCAGAGGGGGCACTAGAAAGGCTGGAGCCCTGAGCACGGCTCTCCCACTTCCCTGAGGATGCTGCTGATTCCCACGGATGCCTCTGCCCCGGAGGCTGGAACCTTCATCTGAAGAAGCACCTGGGCCAGCCTTGCCCAGCCCCCTCCCTTTTCAGCTCTCTTCAGTGCTGTTGTTCAGTAGCTTTCAGTTGTGTCTGACTCTCCGTGACCCCATTTGGGGTTTTCTTGGCAGAGATACTGGAATATCCTTCTCCATCTCATTTTGCAGATGAGGAAACTTAGGTAAGCACAGTGAAGTGACTCACCCAGGGTCACACAGCTAGGAAGTATCTGAGGCCATTTTTGAACTGGGGAAGATGAGTCTTCCAGACTTCGGGCCCGCACTCTGTGCACTGTGGCGCCCCCTAGCACCCTCTTTTATATCTTCCCCAATTAGAAGGCAAGCACCTTGGGGGTAGAAACTGTCTCCATGCTTACTTTTGTATTCTCAAGGCTTGGCACAGTGACTGGCACATGGTAAGAGCTTAATAAATGGGATATGCACGCATGCATGCAGGCATTCTCTCTCCCTCCCCCTCCCCCATTTCCCTCCCTCCTTCCCTTCCCCCTCCCTATCTATGTGGCTATCTTGTGAAGGAAGCACTGGACCTGTCCTGCCTGGCCCTGGAGGGCAGGCCTAGGAGCCACAGGAGGGAGATGCAAAGCTGAAGATAGGCTGTGTGAGGAAAAACTTCCTCTTTTCCAACATTAAAGTGTGGCATGGGACCAATTACCAAAGGCTTAGCTCAGCACAGCCAAGGCATATCCTCCAAACTGTGATTTACCATCAACACATCATAGATTAACTTTTCTGCAGAACCATGGGCCTGTCCATGAACATGCACATTCTGTGCTTTCATTAAAAACTTAAGAGAAAAAAAATGCAACGAAAACAGTGGCTAAGACAGAAAGGCTCAACATAGTGATAATAGCTACGCAGCTTCTCTCCACTCCTCCCCCACCCCTTCTCTAGATGCAACGCCCAAGTTCCTTTACCTAGTGCTGGTGCCATGAATCTGGCATCCTTTGTCAACATACTCATTATCTTCCTCTTCAACATTTCAAACTGAAGTCCCACCAACACCTCAGACTCAACGTGTCCAAAACAAAACTCATTTCCTTCCCTTCTGCTCTAATAAACCCTCCCCCTCCACTGCCTTCCTTATTCCTGCTGAGGACACCCCCATCTTCCCAGGCCCCCAGGCTCCCAACCTAGGAGTCATCCCAGACTCCTCACTCTCTCACCCCCAGATCCAATATGGTGCCAGGGCCTGTCCATTTCACCTCCTGCAGCACCTCTGGTCCATTTCACCTCTGCTGCATCTCTGGTCCATTTCACCTCCACAGCTTCTCCCTAATACTCCCCCCACCCCATCCTCCAGCACTGTCTCCACCCTGATGCAGACCCTCACCACCTCAGACCTGGACTACTGCAGTAGCTTCTGGGGGATGGGGGTGGTCTGCCTGCCTCAGTCCCTCCCTACTGTAGTCCATCTTCCATTCAGCTACCAAAGGGATCTTTCTGTGCAAGTGAATGTTGAAAACTAAAAATAAATAATTTTTTTTAAAAAAAAGAGATCTTTCTAAAGCACAGGTCAGAACATGTCATCCCCTACTCAGTCACCTCCAGTAGCTCCCTATGTCCTCCAGGGGCAAAACAAAATGCTCTGTTTGGCCTTCAAAACCCTTGGTAACCCACTTCCTCTTTTTCCAGTCTCCTTACACCTTAGGCCCAGACTCCTATTCAATCTGGTGTCACCAGCCTCCTGGCTGTTGTCCCATGAGACCCTCTACCTCTCTGTCTATGTCTCAGGCCTGGAATACTCTCCCTCCTGTGCTCTGCCCTCCACAGCCTCCTTTAAGTCCCAGCTAAAATCCCACCTCCTACAGGAAGCTTTTCCCAAGTCCTCTCCTCCGGGGCCCTCCTTCTGTTCATTATCTCCCCTTTATCTTGAAGGTAGCCTGCTTTGTATATATTTGTCTCCCCCATTGGATCGTAAGCTCCTTGAGGGCAGGGCCTGCACACAGTAAGTGTTTAATACATGTTTACTGACTGGCTGGACGCATGCACTGAGGATAACAGTCCTCGGTCTCCAAGGAGCTCACATTTTATCTGGGGAGGCAACTGGACTATGCTATCAATCATTTAAGCAACACATATTCATTGATTAGAAAGACAGATGGGAACACAAACTCCTGCCCACAATGAATACCGAGCAATTGGGCTGGGGAGGCGGCAGGGGGCGCCAGAGGACAACAGGGGAGGCCCGGCTGATCTCAGCAGGACTGGACGGATTAGGGGCGCGCACTCCCGGTGTCACGGACTGCCTGGGCAAAGGTATGGGGTCCGGAGATGGAAGAAAAGCGAAATATGTTAACAGAGAATCACGTGAAATAAAGACCGGACTCGGCTTGTGATGAGGAGACTAGCCTCAGACACTTCCGGCTGTGTGACCCTGGATCAGTCACTTAGGCTCAGTTTACTCATCTGTAAAATGCGGCCAAGAACAGCTCCCACCAGGCAAAGCTGTTGTGAGGATCCAAGGAGATAATGCAAAGGCTTGAACCCAGTGCCTGACACACAGTCGTGGCTTCATAAAGGCTTGTTCCTTTCCCTTCCCCGTCCCCCGCAGGTGTGGCCAGGTCTGGAAGGTGATGGGGGAGGGGTCCAACGCCAGGGCATCCCCCAGGAGGTATGCAGTGGGGGGTGGGCTCAGGGCTCGGTTCTGAGTGCCAAGGCCGCCAGGCTCGAACCCGGGGCCGGGTCCCCACAGGAGACAAACGTCAAGTTTGGCCTGGGGTCCAGGCCGCCCAGCGTACTCCTTACCTGCCGCGACCCTCAGCCCTCTGGAGCCAAGACCTCCGCGGCTCGCTAGCCTCCTTCCTGCGACCATCTGTACAGCAATGAGGCAGGGGGCAGGGCCGCCGTGGGCATCTCTATGGGAACGGACGCGCGCCTGGAAGGGTGGACGGCAGGCGCCGAGGGACAGATCACCTAGAGCGCGTCTGAGCCCAGAGGCTAGTGCGCCTGCGCAATGGACCTGGACGCGGCCTGCGCATGCGCCCGGACCACTGTCTTGCTTCTAGCTTCTCCCGGCAGGCTGTGCGGCGGCCCCTCAGGGCATAGAAGGTCACGTGGTCTGCTTTCTCTCCTCCCCCCTCCCCCACTGTTGGAAGGCAAGCGTCCTGAGGGCAGGTGCGTATTATCCCCCACCCACAGGCCTAGGCCCAGCTCCCCCACACGTTAAGCACTCACTACATGGTCCTTGGCTGGTTTTACCAAGTAGTACCCCGGACCGCCCGCAGGGTCCTGAACAGCTCCTGTCGCCCACTCTGGAGACACATCAGGCCTCCCCAGGTCAAACACTCAGCAGAGCTGGGTTCGAATGCCGCCCCTGGCCCGGGCGGGGAGGAGTCATTTTGCCCCAGCCTCAGTTTCCTTATCTGTCAGATGGGGGTGGTCAGTGCCTGAAAGGCTGCTGGAGAGAGTTTAGACAGTGCTTCGGACGGACACTGCCCACACACAGCATTGCCTGGTGTAGACCAGCCTGGAGAATGAGGACACTGCCCACACACAGCCTTGCCTGGTGCAGACAGCCCGGGTCAGGACTCCTCCTGTCCCAGAGAAGGCACCTAACCTGCCCTGATCATTTCTGGAAAGGGGTCTGGGTCACGAGAGCTCAGTGACTTTCCCATTGTCCACATCAGCACATGCCTGAGTCAGCACTTGAACCCATGTCCCTGTGATCCTTCTCTCTGTACTCTCAGATAAGTGCACGTTAGACTGACCATCACCTCTCCTGGCTTCATCAGAGCAGTGAGGCTGAGCCTTGGAGGTGAGACCCAGCCCCAGGCCGGACCTGCCAGGGCATCGCGCAGGGGGGACCCCCTCAGAGAGCCCAGGGCACACCTCCCCACGTTCATGGTGAAGAAGAAATGCCCCCCTGGAGAGCACACAGACCTGCTGCCCTGGTCTCATCCCGGGGTGACCGGCCCCTACATCCTGCACCTGACACCTGAGCTCGTAGCTGGCCCCTGGCAGAGGCTGGGCCCGGGAGCCCCAGAGAGAGCCCGGCAGCCAGGCCAAAGAGTGTGGCAAGAAAAGTTCACTGGCCTTGGTCCGCAGAGGCAGTGCCTGGGGAGGGGGCTCCAGCCCCTTCTTGCACCAGCTTGTATGCTACCCAGCAGTCGGAGGCGGGCTCCTCCCTGCCGCCACCTCAGAGGCTTGGATGGAAGGAACCCCCAGGGCACAGAGTGAGCCACTGCAAGAGCCTTCCTGGCCCCAGGATGAGATTAGAAAAAAGTGTGGGGGAGGGAGGGAGACTACTTGGAACTGGCCCCCATTGTAAGGAAATTGGGAGTGGGGGGGATTTCAGGCCGACTCCTTGGGGGTTCTTTTTGTTGAGCCCATCCCACCGCTCTGAGCCCCCAGCCTTTCTTTTTGTGGCTATGAAAACAAAAGAGGGAGCAAGGGCACAGCCGTGATGTGAAGGGGGTCATCATCTGCATCAGGCCGGTCTACATCTGCTACACTAAGTGTAAGGGAGAATCGTGACCTCAGGTCTGGGGCCAGAGGGGAAGGTCTCTGCCCCGGTGCGCGGGGGGCAGCTGGGCAGGCACCAAACCCCACTGACTGATGCACTGTCAGTCTTAACTTGTAGTGACCCGTTTAGGACGCGGTCATCGACTCAGCAGCCCCCTCATGAGACAGCTTGGGGAGCAGAGTTTCTGTTCTTCATGGGAATAGATTCCTCAGATTCTCATGGGGTCGGAGGCAGGTCCCGTGTGTCTGACCCCAAGAGGCTCCCTTGTGCTGCCCCTGCTGATCTCTTGTGGCGGGATCTCCTGGGTTGCCCAGTCCCTCTCTGTGCTCAGGGCTGCTCTTCAGTACCTCTCCTCGCTCCGTGGCTTGACCTCAGCCCCTCGGGATAGTCTAACCCTAGTCCCAGAAGGATGCTCCAAGTCTAAGACAGGCAGATTGGCTTTGGGCAGACGAGGTCGGCCAGCGGCTGAAACCCCTTTCCCTCTTCCGTGGACCCAGAACGCGAGGTAGATGCAGTGCACTTGTGGCTTCAGAGAGCACTGGGCCGAACCTTCCACGCACTTTCTGTGGACAGGATGGAGACTCGGTGATGCAGACAGACTGTGGTGGGGGGAGGGAAGGCCATAACTGCCACCTTCCGGTATTTCAGGGGGCGTCACGTGAGCAGTATTAGATTTGTACTCCTGGGACCCAGTAGGTGAAACTGGGGAGGGGGAGTTGTAGGAGCCAAGGGAAGGCTGGAGGGGACACTTGGAACGCTCAAAAACTGGCTTGGGCTGCAAGGGCCAGTACAGTCTGGGGGAGGGGAGTGGGAGGAGGCATTTGGGAACCAACCCTTGTGACCCAACCTGAATCTCATGACTCAGCATCAGCCCAAGAGGGTCACAGGCAGAGGAAAAGGCCCCATATGCACAAAAATATGACCTTCAGTGTCAGTGAAAAACTAGAAACTAAGTAGATACCCGTTGATTGGGAAAAGGCTGAACAGACTGTCATATGTGAGGGTAATGGAATGTAGGCAGTCCTTACTTTACACAAGTGGACCATTGCACAGACCTCTAGGTAAAGCAATGTTGATGTGATGTGAATTTGCCCCCACCAGCCACTTCAGTTTTTCTAACAAAGAATACACAAAGTAATACTTTGTGCAAGTCACAAAATGTACTGAAATACAGACATATTACCTCTTGTCCCATAATAAACAGAATTGTGAAATGAAATGTAAAGCTAATGGTAAAATATGCACAGTATTGTACGGAAAAGGTAAATAGCTTTCCAAGACATTGCTCTTTCCCTACCTGCTGCACCCGGCCTTTATCACTGGGGATTGGCTGCACACCTTATTTTATGAATCTGTCAAGAGATGTTTGGACAATGGCTTGCTCTCTTTTTCCCTCATTTATCTGATGATCACAAGCAACATTAGCTTTCAGAATTCTTTATATAAAGTCAAGTTTGTGTAATGAGAATTTACATAAAGCAAGAAATGCCTGTATTATTGGAGCCTTATGCAATACTGCCTATGAAGACTTCAGAGAAACCCCAGGAGGCCTGCCTGAACTGAGGCTGCAGGAAATGAGGAGAACCTGGAGATCCACGTTCAGGATCAACAAAAACTGTAACAGGAAAACTAACAGAAGGCTTCAGAGCTCAGGCCAAGGTGACAGCCGGGCTGGCTCCCGAGGCCTGAGCAGAAGGAAGCTGAGTTTCCTCAGCCGCCCGCTAGCCTCTGCATCTGGGTGTTTGCTCTGCTCTGGGCACTGCTGCTCAGCGGTTCCAAAGGTCTTGCATGTCTCCTGCCTGTCTGCCACCAGTGACCCCCCTGAGGAGTGGGCAGTCCAGACCACCCTCAACCCTTTCCTTGACTGCCGCTCACCCAGAAGGTCAGGGGGCGCTGCCCAGAGAGCTTGCCTGCATTTCAGGTCAGTGGTTGAGAAAGCGAAAAGGGGGGGGCGGCTGGCAGAGCTCCCTGGGAAGGATTTGAACCAGCTGAGTGGACTGACTCAAGGAATAGTGACCAGGTTGGATGTTAGCTTTTTGCCTTGATATTCCTGGAGCATAGCACAATGATCTGTGTGAAACACTGGGGAAAGGAACCACAGGTCCTACGTCCCTGCTCCCCAGGGCTCCCATTGTAGTGGGAGAGACCACACCTAGGAGGGGCTTCTGCTGCAAGCCAGAGGGAAGGTCCAAGGGTCGTTGGGGGCAGCCACATGCGCTCACGGCTCCAGGTCCACTCTGGAGGTGTTCTCCACTGAAGGGGGGGGCAGTCATTGCCTGTCAGGTACAAGACCAGGGGGCAGCCACGAGGGTCTTCTGTCTGCATTCTCAATGCTGCCTCAGAAGTCGATCAAAATACCTCCTCTCATGTCCTTTCCATTGATGAAGCCACGTCCATTTCTGCCATGAAGCTGTTTGTTGGTGACCAAGGACTTGGGTGGGGAAGCTCCGTTTTCTGGGTCTTCAGTAGCCATGGCTGCTGAGCAGGTGGAGGCTGCAGTCCCCGGATGCTGGGTGGGGAGGGTACCTACGTAGTGCTGTGGTCCCAGGGCACTTGGGCTTACCTTCTCACTGGCATGATGGTGATGCTACGTAGTGAGACAGTTAGATGGAGCTGTGGCTAAAGCTCTGGGCCTGGAATCGGGAAAAGCTGAGTTCAGATCTGGACTTGGATGATGCTAGCTATGTTACCCTGGGTGAGTCTCTCTTCTCTGCCTCAGTTTCCACATCTGTAGAATAAGGAGAGTCGTAGTACCCATCTATCAAGAATCGAGTCAGGTAATATTTGTAGAGAACATTGTAAATCATAAGGTGCTGGATAAATGTGTGCTGCTGTTGGTGGTGGTGAGGACACCCGGCCTCTTACATGGAGAACACAAGTAGAATGATTTCATCTGAGGTGATGGAGGACAGCCTCATGAAGGAGGCAGTGTTTGGAGGACAGGTGGGCAGGAACAGGTGACTGTTGGGAGGGGTCAAAGATGAAGGACCTCCCAGATGTTGGGAGGACACGAGCACATGTAGAGAAGGCGCCTGGCGTTGCCTTTCAGGAAGCACGAGCTCACCAGTGGGATGGCTATGGGCTACTCTGGAGGCTAGGCCAGTGATTGGGGGTGGGGGACACTTTAGGGTGAAGGGTGCCAGGCTCTCTCCACTGGGGCAGGAGAGGAGAAGGTGGTTGGGACTCTAACAAGAAGAGATTCAATAAGAATAAAGGTGGTAGCTGAGCTCTGCTTGGCCCCGGGGAGCAGAGCCAGGTGGAATGGGCTCAGATGTCGGACTGAGTTAGGAAAGCTCAGAGGAGGCTGGGCTGCCTCTAGAGGCAATGCGCTGGGGTACCCCGTCCCTAGAGAGCTGGATGGCCACTTGTCTCAGGGTCTAGGTGGGCCAGCAAGAAAATTCCAGAGGCTTCTTCCAGCTCTGAGGTGTTGGGGATCTGTAAGGATGTAGAG